AACGATTCTTGACCGTTATCTTGTTAAGCGTCCAGTAATCCACGCACATGCGCTAGCCTTTATCCTTCTTGGGCACCAACAACACTGGCGACCTGCAAGGTGAACAACTCGGTACTATCACTCATGTCTCCAGAAGCTCCTGAACCTGCTTCTTTATCTCCTCGGACTCCTGTATAGTTGTGCGATATAAACCTATATTCGGTAAGAAACTCTCTCCTGTCAGCATAATCTCATGCTCCACGCCCCATCTTGGTGGTAGTCCCGTGATCTCTAAAAACAAGTCCATATACTTGGCCTTCAACCTATCAAGATCTCCCTCCTGAAGCTTGCTCAATGTGGTCAAGCATATCCTACTCAGTTGTTCCTCATAAGGCCTAATGAATAACAATACAAACTTCTTGTTTGTATTAACTAACCTCTTCACCTGAGTCACAGTCACCAAGCTAGTCTCCTGTGAAAGAGATGCCGAATAAAATATGAACTGCTTGCCATCCTTGGTGAACGTATACTTCTAGGCCCGCCTGTCGTAGACTGCGTACCTATCCTACAAATAGAGATTGTCTAGTATAACCTGACAAACATCCAATGAAACGATATCGTACGTGACATCATCAATATACGACTCGTGGAGTGCAAATATAAAAGTGCATTGGTTGATCACACTCAATCCTGCCTCCTTCTGAATCCACCCTAAAGGATAGGGCTCCGGATGTTTTACCGTCTTTAATCCCAGCTTCTGAACCAAGGCCTCGGATATCAAATTCTTCTGGCTCCCTGGATCAATAATGGCATTGACCAAGCTGATCTTCACCTGCAACTTAAGAACAAATAGCTGCTCCCTAGGGTCTTCGTCTTTATTCGCGGCTTGCTTTCCTATCATAAGGTTAAGACTATTGTTAGGCTCTGTCATCCCAGGAACTTCCTTCAGACCATGTGCTATCACATATATCTTTTTCTCCTCCTTCTTCTTCAACCCCTTCGGCTTTAGATAAGGATACTTCTCCCAGCACCAATCAGCCACGTGTCATGTCTGCTTGCAGTGATTGCAAGTCAATCTTGTCTTCCCTGGATTACCCTTCTTCTTCTCTTCCTTAGGTTGAGAGCCACTAGACTTGCCTCCAGCTTACTTGGAACACCTCGTTGCCCTTCTTCTGCTTGCCCTCAATGGCAATAGACTTCACACTCGCTTCTACAATAGACTCGACCGTGAACAACTCCATCTCCTTTCGGATATATTCATTCAGTCCTGCCATATACTTCATAAAAACCGAGTATTCATCCGTCGTTATGTTGAGGACCATCGCTTGTTGCTGGAACTCTGTTGTGTATTCTTAAATGGTCTGGTTGAATCTTTGGCATAAGTCGTACCACTTGTATCAACGCTCCTTAAGGAATCCTATCAGGTAGAATTTCTTCCTCGGTAGCTCCTTAAACTTTTTCCATGACACTGCCTTCTTCTCCTGCTTGCAATAGGATTTTCAACATGTCAACGCGTGCCCTGAAAGCTTCAATATCGCAAAAATAATCTTCTCTTTTGACGAGTAGCCATAAAGAGTAAAATAAGTCTTCATATGCTCGATCCAATCATCAAGCCTTTCGACATTCACACTCCCATCATAAACAGGAATCTCTACTATAAAATCAATCTTCAAATTTTAGTAAGGACTCTTACCCCTTTGATGTGGAGTAGTCTTGACGGTCTCGACCTCCTCGTCGGAATCTGAATCTTCACTCTCTCCATCGAACTCTACAGGTTTCTTCTTGGACTTCGAAGAAGATTTGCTCTTTTTGTTCCCTTCATGGATGAAATCGACAAGTTGTGTGAGAGTCAACCCGATTGTTTCGATATGTTTCTCCAACGCATCAAGCCTTGTTGAATTGTTACTTTCTGTCATCTTCTTCTTCCTTAATTTCTAGATTTCTTCCAAGGAAATAAGAGTTTCGCCTAGCTTCTTATACTGTGATCGAGTAAGGACCATACACAGGATTCCCCCTTCACAGGATCTGATCGTTCTGTTACCAACTTGGTACGAGTCGCCGTGTGAGCACCTTTGATTGCGAGATTATCAAAGATGGGTTGAGAAGAAAATAATAGAAAACACAAGAACAATTCAGTTGGCGAAGAAAAATATTTTCTCTAGATTATGAATAATAAAAGATTACAAATCACTCTCTCACAATCTTACTAGAATAAAGAACAATCTCTCTATTCTCTTTGAATACAATCTGATTGCTTAGAAACCCTAAAACAATCCTATTTATATCCCTAACAACATGGATGACAATCTTATAAATAAACAAGTCCAAACAAACTAGGAAAACACGTCAAAAAGAGTCTCAAACAACTTAGAAAACCCGATCCGGCCGACCGGCCTGCTTGGTTCGGTCGACCGGCCAGAGAAAATGTTTTTAACCCTATCATCAGAACCACGTCCGGTCGACCGCCAAGTGCATCGTGGTCGACCGGTCAGAGCGCACAAATCCTCACCCTGTAGTATGCACGAATCCGGTCGACTAGTGCTGAGCATGCGGTCGACTGGCCAGCGCCTGAACTCCAGCTCCCTGATTTTCCCTGTTTTACTACTTTTGACTTCTTTCACCGCCACTAACGGCTCCACCCACGTCTCTATTCTTAAGTTATCATGAGAATCATCTATCCTCAAGATTCCATAAAGATCACTAAGCTCCCGAAGTAGAGAGAAGATACACATGTATCAATCATCAGAAGCAAAGATGTGATATTCTATGAGGATGTGATGTACAAGGACATGGACAATGTCAAGGATAGCCAAAGCAGTGTGAGCAGCACTAAGGTTGCACGTGGATTCGAGTACATGGATTTGGAGGAAATTCCAGATGAAGGAGACAGTGTCAGTTCTGACCAAAGAACAGAGGAGACTCTAGGTGCAGAGACTACTACCAATAGTGTAGAGCTTAGGAGATCATCCAGGGTGCCCAAACCGAATCCCAGATATCTCTCATTAATTTATTATTTACTTTTAATAGATATCGGTGAACCAGAGTGCTATGAGGAGGCTATGTAAGATAGTGAATCTCAACAGTAGGAGAAGGCAATGCAAGAAGAGATGAATTCTCTCCACTAGAACGAGACTTGGGAGTTAGCCCAGCTACCTGCATAAAAGAAAGCCTTACATAATAAGTGGGTCTACTGAGTCAAGAGGAGAGTGATGGAAGTAAGAGGTACAAGGCCATATTAGTTATAAAAGGGTTTCAACAGCGAGAAGGAGTGGATTATGAGATATTTTTTTCCCGTCCTGAAGCTTACAATCATCAGAGTGGTGTTAAGCTTAGTAGCTATTGAAAATCTCTATCTTGAGTATTTGGATGTGAAGACTGTCTTTCTTCATGGTGACTTGGATGAAGAAATCTATATGAAGCAACATGTTGGCTTCGATGAGAAAGAAAAGGAAGAGATAGTGTGTAGGCTCAAGAAGAGTTTATATGATTTGAAACAGGCTCCGAGACAATGGTACAAGAAGTTCGACAACTTCATGCAGAGCAATGACTATAAAAGATGCAATTCAGATTATTGTTGCTACTTCAAGATGTTCGAGTCCAGCTATATCGTGTTATTATTGTATATTGATGACATGTTAGTTGCAGGACAGTGTTTAGAGGAGATAAACAAATTAAAGAAGCAGTTGGCGAAGGAGTTTGCTATGAAGGATCTGGGTACATCGAGCAAATTCTTGGGATGCGAATCAGTCGAGATGCAGCTGAAGGGACGTTGAAGTTGAGTCAGGTTGAATACATTGAGAATGTAGTAACATTGTCCACAACTGAGGTAGAGTATGTCGCAGTGACTGAAGCCAGCAAGGAAATAATTTGGTTGATCGGGTGCCTAGAAGAGTTGGGTTTGAAGCAAGGGAACGACATTCTTTATTGTGATAGCCAGAGTGCTATACACCTTGCTAAGAATCCAATATATCATACCAAATGAAATCAACAATAAAGCTAAAAAATCCAGCTCTGGTCGATCGACATGCTTGGACCGGTCGACCGAAACGCCTGCAGAAAAATAGCCCAGGAAACACGCTCTGTCCGGTCGACCGAAGCTTGTTGACGGTCGACCGAAGCTTGTTGACGGTCGACCGAGAGTGGTCAACAGGTCGACCGACGCTATGACACTGGTCGACCGAAACGTGCACGAGCAAACTGTAAAAAAAATCCGTGTTCTAAGCGATCGACCAACGCCATTGCATCGGTCGACCAATGTCGGATTTTTCCAGATTCCCAGTCTATTTGGGAATCTGTTTTGGGCTGGGATACTATATATACCTTAAATATTTTAGGGTTTGATGACACACGAAAAAGAGGGTTATTGAGAGGACTTTGAGACAGAAATCTCAGAGAGAGAAAAGGCTATTTGCGAGCATTGTAATCTTCTTCAATTAATCAAAGATTTTCTGGTGTGGCTCCCGAGTACGTAGGCACGTTTGCCGACCATTGTTAAATCAGGTGTTCTCCTGTTTTAGTTATTCTTTCCTGCAAGCTTTTTCTTTTATTTGCTGTAATTTCTTGTTTGCTTATTTTCGACACAAGATCCGGAAGGGCACAGGTTGTGTGTTCAACCCCAACATCATCGACTTTCGACAATGTTTGTTACCATAGTTGCTGTGGAATGGAAGATGCAGTGCAATTTTTTTTAAACTACCTTCAAACTATGTTAACGCTGTTTAGCTTTCTTGACTTAGGACATATCTCCTTAGAACTAACCTTATTTATAATAATCCAAAGCTAAACTTGAACTTTTATCCGCTGCTTCATGATAATCTTTTTATTTTCTGTGATTTTATAAGAGATAAAGGCATTCTGTTTTTGTGCCTGTGGAAGTTTCATTAAAAAAAAAAGCAGAAGCTGAAACTGAGATAATGTAATCAGATCATACATGTTAGTTCTAGTACACAACAGCGCTATCATTTTCATCATTTTCCTTTACTTGAAGAATTGATAAATTGACCGTTGTTTTTTTGTGGCAGAGTATGGATCTACTGGCAACGTCTCAAAAATGTGTGATGTCTACAGTTTTGGTATTCTGTTGTTGGAAACATTCACTGGAAGAAAGCCAACTGATGCCATATTTGATGGAGAATCAAGTCTGAGAGAATGCATTTCCCAAGCATATCCCACTGCATTATTTGATATTGTAGACGACAATCTCTTCAAAGGTGGTTCTCTTACTGAACAACAATCCGACGATGAAACAATTATGCATGATTGTGTATTATCTGTCATCGAATTGGGTTTATTATGTACAAATTACTCACCAAGAGAGAGAATACAGATGATCGATATCGTCCCCAAAATGCAGAAGATAAAAATGGAGTACGTGTCTCGGATGTCTAGTTCTTGAAGCTGAGATCCATGAATTGGTGCTTTCATGTTCCTTTGGCATCTTATATTTGCAAGTAGCTTATGTATTGTTACTTTGATAACATTTTTGAGTATTTTGTTATTTGGTATTCTGGAAATCAGCATATATTAATAAAGGATCTCCTGATCTCTTTTCTTGATTTTTTTTTTCAAGTTTTGACGTTGAATTTACAGTTTGAGATATATTCAATCGTGAAATCTCGTATTATTACTGAAGTTTTTTTTTTCTTTAATTCTTTCAATAGTGAAAGTCATCATTTTTGCATTTGCAAGATTTGTTTAAATGGTTTTGAACAACTAATCTAAGGTGATGTGTCCATAGCTAATCCAGATAAAGGAACAGCTCGAATGAGTAATTTAGTTTTGTGCGAAAAGTTTAGATTGGAAACCACAACTTCTCTTGTTAAAAGATTTTTTTTATTTACATTTGAAATATGTTTGGTTTGAAACAATTGGTCCGTAAGCGTCTTTCTCTATTTCGCTTAATTTGGTCGAAAAAGTTTAGATTGCAAATCACAGCTTTTATCCTGTTAGAGGATTTTTTTTATGTCAAATTTACATTTGAAATATGTTTGGTTTGAAATAATTTGGTCCATAAGTGTCTTTCTCTGTTCCGCTTAATTTTTTTTATTATTATTTAATTGATTTATATTGTTCTTTGCTTGATCCTTTAATCTGCATATTCCCTTTCCTGACATCTTTGATCTGTCTTTCTCTTGGACTAAAATAGCCCATTGTCTCGATCCAAGTTGGAGCCGAATAAACCTACCAAACCGAAATAATTCTGTTTAATTTGGTTTAGAATATCCAGTGGTTCGGTTCGGATTGACCAAATTTTATTAAAACCGACTGATTCAACAATTTGCTCATCCTCGCTCCAGAAAGCCACTTGTAAAGGATGTAAAGCATATTCTCAAGCTTGTTGATGCACCCTAAAACTGGCATATGTCTCATTATACTTTGAATTTTATTGTAAGATTTTTTTTTTCTTCTCAAGCCAGATGTGTTAATGATAGCCCAATCGAGTTCCAATGTGATTCCGCCAAAAGGGGTTTTTTTTTTTCCTAGAAACCACATTAACAATAGGATAATTGTCAAGCCCCTCTGCGGTTGCCGAGGTGAACCCTCGACGCCAGGGACTCAACGGCCTCCAAGGGTAGCCGGCGTCAGATCCTCATCGAAGCTTTTCTTCTAGATCTTTTGTTTTACTAGCAGCGTGTTTTGGGCTGTGTAGAATGCTTATATATCGGTAAGTTTTGAATTTTAAGTATTAGATGTATATAGTTTGCTTTGAACTTATATCAATAGCAGATCTTATATAATTTGTGAAAAACTATGTGATATGAAGTGTCAGGCTTTACACGTGCATGTGAATTGTCTTGTGCACGGGTCGCTGCTATCGCGTGCCCCGTATCTATCTTCCACTATTATCTTGGGAACGTGACATTAATTATACGAAAATGACCTTTCAATTTCAATTAAACTATCTTTAAACTGGGTTTTTGTTGCAATGAACCACCTCCTAGTTAAAATTTTTATTAACCCAAAATTACCCTTAAAAAAATTCAAATTCAACGAATGTGACTCATTTTTTTATTGTTTATATCTTATTAGGATACAACTCACGCACATTCTTCTTCTGAGTTTCGTCAAAACCCCCAAAAGATTTCAGGAATTTTTTTTCAAAATGTATGAGATTTGAGGAATCAATATCTCAAAAACCCTCTAGATAGTCGAATGAATCTAAGAGCGTGTCTATGTTTTACTAGTTTTGTTGGAAAATGAGGCAGAAACTAAGATCACAAAGCAATAACAAAAACAAAACAAAAAAGATCATCAGCGCAAACAAAAAGATTTACATGGTTTAGAGCCACCAGGTGGGGCTAGTGCATGGAGGGTGGTGTCAAGTGACACCATCCTAAATCATATCAAATATGTGTGAGCTTATGATGTAAAGTGACACCCTAGAATTGAGTGACCCCATTAACTCTTTACGTGCCAAATTTAAAGATAAAGTTATTCCGCTAAAAGAATTTGATTTTCAAATAATATTAAAATTCATAAATAAAAATTATTCCTTTATAATATATGATGTATATATATTTAAATCAAAATTTTAATTAGAAAAAAGTTTTAAGATTATTTAAGTCTTAAAATCAGTATATAAAAACTTAAATAGAAATGGTAAGTGGGTTAAAAATATGACATCATTGTTGTGCGCAGCGGAAATTTCGGCAGAATTTCTGGTGCACAATAAAAGAGAAAGATCAATAAGAATTCTTGTTTCTCAAAGGGAACAAGAATCTGAAGCCTAATATCTCATCAAAGTGGGATATTAGCTCTTCCTTTCATCAGCTCTAGGACTGCGCGTCGAGGGATCCTAAAAAACCATTACAATGGTCACAAACTCAAACAAATAATTTTACGTGGTTCGGCAAACTGCCTACGTCCACGGGGCAAGGAGGGGGGATCTACTATTAGAGAGAAAATACAATAGGTTTACAAATCTCACAAACTAAACTCTCAAACTAACTCTCTAATCTCTCACAAAACAGCCACCAAATAGGATTTTTCTCCTCTGCACGAAGCCCAAGAAAAATTCCACAACCGCCTTTTTCTCTCTCCCCTTTGCCTCCGCACCTGCACGCCGCCAAAGTAAAGAGAAAAAAAACCGACTGCACCAAAACACCCTTCTTTGCACACACTTTCACAAAACCCTATGAGGGTATATATATTGTTTATTCGTGGGCCGGATATCAAACGCGTTATCAAATCACGCATTATCAAAAAACGTGTGATGTTTGCTGTGATCCCCACACCCACTTTGAGGTGATTGGTGTGGTCCCCACAACCAAAACAAAAAAACGCTTGTTCATGTGATCTCCTGATCACATGGCCACGTGCTTCACAATTCTCCACCTCGGCGAAGTTTTCACAAAACCGAGCCAACACCAACCAAAAATAAATGTCACACTTGTTGCGTCCAGTACGAAGTGAAACCATTCACGACAACGGACTCAATCCACAATAAGTTGAGAACCCAAATGAGAATACAAACACTCTCCAAATGTCGGTATCAACTCACCAAATCGATCTCACCCCCATCAAAATCTAACCCGGCTACATCGTAAAGACTACCTACGTATCCTCTTGCCCAAGGAATCAAGCCTCACGTAGTTCATCCAAATGGCCGCGAACGACCTTAATCCAATAGAAGAGTTCGCAACCCTTCTCCAATATCATCAACTCTGCGGCTGATAGCACCTCCAATGGCCTCAAACACCTCCACTTGAGGTGAACCAATGACCATATTCAAACTACATCTATCAGCTAGAATCCCAAACAATGCAGTATGATCTGGAGTAATCTTCACCCAATGTGGAGTAGCATCACTCTCCACCCGCTGTGATACATCTAAGGTCTGTCTAAAACTCTCCACCTGCTAAGAGTCAATTGGCTTCCTCATCAAAGCCTCATCCAAAGTGACACAATCAGACCTATCTTCCAATAGAGTTTTACCTCCAATCACAGCAGTTGAAAACTCTTTAATAGGATGACTCAAATATGTCGAAGCCTCAGTCCAGAACTTCTTCTGCAAACCATTGCTCGACCACAAACACCGATCCTCCTCCAGTAAGGTACGGTTCTCCAAATTTGACACCCCATCTAGTTACCCCAAGATTTCCTTTCCAACAAAGTGTCTCGAAATGCCGTGAGCTCGGCTCCAATACAGAAACAGGTCCATCTTGTACCTCCCACTAGAATGGAGTACCTTCACCTTTCTGTCTATCACACACTTCTTCAATCTATTGGATACTACTAAGACTTTCTCCAAAGAGGATTTGGTTGCAACCCAAACACGCCTAGAACAACCACCAACAAAGGAAACCAAACTTCGATTACCTCCCAATGATGCCCCTTGGAAGGCCCCCAAACATTCACGTGAACTCCTCCAGAACGACCCTTAACTCGGTGAATAGAGATGTCAAACTTCACCTCGGTCTTCTTGCTCACATCAACATGTTCACTGGACTTCAAATTGCAGGTCTTTACACCCTCTTTCAATCCATGCGAGGAATCAATACCGGAATGGTCAAGCCCTAAATACCGTAGTCTAGTCGAATCAACAGAAGTCGTCAGCTCTCCACCTGCCACTATACCTCTAGTTAAGTAATACAGGTTATTCCTACTAACACCCTTCATCAAAATACGAGAGTCTCTCGCAATCTCGAGAACCATGTTCTCAACACGAACCTTCAGACCCTCTCCAACCAAAGCTCCAATTGAGATCAAGTTCTTCCTCAAAGAAGGAACATATCTCATATTATTTAACTCTCTAACAGTCCCGTCAAATATTTTGATGCGAATTCTTCCTATCCCAAGGATCTGGCATGCACGGTAATCAGCCATGTACACCACACCACTATTCAGCTTCTCAAAACTGGAGAACCATTCCCTTCTAGGACACACATGATAGGTCGCACCACTATCCAACATCCATTCAGATTCCTCCGAATAGCTATCTGTAGGACTGATAGAAAGCAAATAAATAGAAGAGTCAGAATTATTACCATCCCCGAATAGCTATCTGTAGGACTGATAGAAAGCAAATAAATAGAAGAGTCAGAATTATTACCATCCGATATGATGTTTGCTTCTGATGATGGTTGTTTCCCTTTTCCCTTCTCCTTATTCTTTATCAATTCGTCGAGCTTTAGGCAGTCTTTCTTCCAATGACCAGTCTCCTTGCACCAAGCACACTGATCTTTTTTAATTGTAGGATGTCCTACTCTAGACTGTGACTTCCAATTCTTTCGGTTTGGACCTTTTCCTCTTGCGATCAATGCCTCCGCTACCGGCTCAACTGAAACCTCATTATCCTTCTTTCGAAGCTGATAATTCACAAGTGCAGCGGTGACCTCACTATACGAAAGGGTTGCCTTCCCATTAATCAAAGTAAGGACGAATGTCTCATATTCCTCGTCAGGCAAGGAACTCAATAACAGCAACGCCTTGTCCTCATCTTCAATTATGACATCCACATTCGCCAAATCCGTAAGAAGCTTTGTGTAAGTGTTCATGTGATCTCTAATTGAGGTTCCCTTCTTCAACTGAAAACGATAAAGTCTCCTCTTCAAAT